ACTGTTTGTGTAAATAAAGTTTTATTGGAACATTGGTTTATACATGATCTATGGCTGCTTTCAGACCATAACAGCAGAGTTGATTTGCTGTGACAAAGACCATACAGCCTGCAAAGGTTAAAATATTAAATTTCTGGCTCTTTACAGAAGAAGTTTACTGGTCCCTTAATTTAACCTTCCAGGCCTCAGTTTCCTTTTCTATAAAACGGGGGATGATTGGATATAATATTTATATAATGGAAAGCACGCAGCCCACAGAGCCAACCCACAAGTTTCTGCTGAATCTGAGTGTGCTCAGCAACGCTAAGTGGAAGAGCTTTTCACTCTTAGCTTCGGCACTGCTGCATCCGACTCTGTTCCAACGTTTGGCGAGAGGCAGCAAACAGCACATAACCCACTCTCCAGAAACAACTGCTGATGTGAACTTGTGAATATAAACGGAAGCAACGTCATCCCAAGCTACCGCTTTCGACACTGGATGGATGTGTGTGAGCAGGCTCTGACCAAGTCAGTTCTTTGTGGCCGACCAGAGTCCCCCAGACCCCTGCCCACCCGGAAACAAAAGCCTTAGTCCATGAACTGATTTTCGCAGAGAATCACTTACAATGCCTAAGTCCTCCCATTCATCGTAAGGGGAAAGGACGGAATTGTTCAACATCTTTGCTTACACCCAGAACGCTGCCCCTGCTCCGGCAATCCAACTGGCAAGATCAGCCAATCACATTTCAGGCTTAAGTGGTCTCCTAGGCAACCAAAAATATAGCCACAGAAACACACGGTAGACAGTGGAAAGAAAAGCGGGGTTGGGAGTGGGGTCAATGGGGAGTTAGTGACCCAGCATCTATTGACCTTAAAGTCATACTGGCCTGCAGAGTTGCACTCAGTCAATATCAGAGTGCCAGCTGCTTGTCCAACCATCAGCGGGATACCCCATCCCAGTGTCCCCAATGCAAAGAGACACCTGATCCCTTGGACAACTGGCAGCTAGCTCCCTGGAGGACTCAGAATATAGCTGCATTCAGCCCATCTCAGATAAAACATGCAGGTAAGTCTTAAAGAGAAGGGAGCTAGCGAATAGCAGCCGAACAGCTGGAAGAGGCAGCAGCCTCCTCTAGAAGAGCAAAGGGCCAGGGTGCTCGTGGACATGGGCACTGAGGTCCGAGTCCATGCTGGAGACACCTAGGAATGATGTCCCAGGAAAAGCACAGCCAAGCAGTCTTTTGGGAATTGGGCAACTGCCAAGCCACAAAAGCCTCTGCAGCTCACTTAGTTTTAGGGGGAAAAACTCTATTCATTTTCTCCAACAATATCCAAAGTGAAATCTGCTTTCACGAACTAAGAAGTCTGCAGCCCACATTAGAAACGCAGTCACTTAAGCTAAGAGCCTTAACAAGGGTCGCCTCAAGCCACGAAACTTTGAAAAAGATCTAATGAGGTCTAAAGAAAGAGTCCTGCCTGCAGCCCCAGCTGCCCTTTCTGGCCTACTGAGCAACTGAAATGCTGGCAATTTCCAGGCAGAGACTGTCCCTGCATTGGCTGTAGCCTGGTGCTTCCATCTGCTCAGAGACTTTACAGACACAGCACCTCACCTCAGGGCAGGTGGGGTAAGTTCAGCGTCATCAGCCTCTCTCCGCAGCTCAAGGGTTGAAGCAAAGAGGGTCAGAAACCACGTGGACGATGGAAAAGACCAGAACCCTTGTTTTCTCACCTGTTACTACAGGTGCCTGAAGAGCCCCAACCCCTGCCCCCCCACCTTGAGCTGGTCAACCTACTGAAGTGGTGTCCAAGATTTCCCTCTTGTCCTGGTCACTTCTGATTCCATCTGCTTCTCAAATCCCAGCCCAAACTCATCAACTTTCCCTCAAGCTAGCTCTCGACCCAGTTCCCTTGTCTCAGCTAATGCCCCATCTTTCTCTTAGTCACTCACGCACAGAACCTCCACTTTGTGTTTGCCACTGTTTTTAACCTTCCGTCGTACATCTAATCAGTCACCAGAGCCTGTTGCTACCTCCACAGGATTCTCTCTCTCTCTGCTACCTCTTTCCTATTTGGAAACAATGGCTACGGTTGTAGCAGAGCTTCTTTCCCCAACGGGAAAGCAGCAGTTAGAGAGGTGTCCTTCTCATGGACCAGGACGGAGAGAGGACCCAACTAGCTGCGAGCTGCTCAACTCTAACACGCCTACAGATCACCTGGGCATCTGGTTAAAATGGAGATTCTGATGCAGCCAGTCTGGGGTGGAGCCTGGGATTCTGCAGGTCTAACAAGCCCCCAGGTGAAGCTGATTCTGCTGTCTGTGGACCACCCTTTAAATAGCAAGGAGCTGGTCGCTGCTTTGAAGTCCCTGGGTGATGCACACATTAACGCGCCGGGCTGCTGACTAAAAGGTTGGAGGTTCGAGTGCCCCAAGAGGCATCTTGTTAGAAAGGCCTGGCGAGCTAAGAAACCAGCCATTGAAAACCCGCGGAGCATAGTTCTACTCTGACACACACGGGGTTGCCAAGTCGGCATCAACTCCACAGCAGTTGGTGGGTCACTGCTTGATCCTCCACCTTCCCACGCCCGGCCACTGCCATACGCATTCTGGCTCCTGCAGTCTCTCTGCTTCTACTCCCAAGGCAGACAGAGATACAGGGAGGGCCATGGGATCTTTCTCCCTCCCTCCTCACCCCACTGCACTCCTGTACAGAATGAAGCTGTCGGGTGGGGCTGCAAACACTGCCCAAAGGCACCCCAAACTGGAAATCTGCAGGGAAGAAATCCTAAAATTTAAAAAAAAAAAAATTTAAAATCTTTCAGTGACTTCCAAATCACCTCTGGCTTCCTCTGTCTTTTGGTTTTGCTCTTACACAGCCCTCCTTAAGCTGAAGTTTCCCAGAAACCGCCAAAGAAAAAGAGCTCACCGCAGATCCCGGGCCTCACCAGCCGTAAACTGCGGCAGGTGTGCACCTGTGTGCGCCTCCATCCCGCAGCCCAGACAGCATCACCTTACAATGGGAGGCCCTTTCATCCGTGGACCACGCACCACGCTGCCTTGTGTATTATTCGTGTGTGTATTTTTAGGTGCATGGAAATATATACTATCATGAAAGACCTGGCCTCTCCAAAAAAGACGAGATCTCTCAATACATTTTTTTTTAAAACCTCTAGACTGGAAAAGAGCAATCTGTCGCAGAAAAATCAGCCCCAGTCATTCAGACGGTGGTGGTGCGGTCTCTAAGAAGGAGGGTTGCCAGGAACGGCACCAGTCCCGAGCCCAAACGTCTCCTCTTTCTGCATTTTTTCAGAACGAAAACCTTAGGGGATAAGAGGGCGGGGTTTTGTGAATGAATAAACATACCACCTTAAAGATCTATATTTAGAGACATTTCAGAAGTAGCGCTTCCAGGGAGAGAAGCCTCCGGTGGGCGCATATGGACCAACTCAACCATGAAAACATTTCATAAGCAGCTTCCATCACAATGAGGTCAATCAGCCTGCAGTTTTATTGAAATACCACTATCCCCAAAGGTCAGAGACCCTAGGGGGCATTATCCCAAAAGGCAGCATCGACTCAACAGAACTCCAACATCAGCCCTCAGCCAGCAGAAACTGGTCATTTATGAACTCATCTGGGAAAGGACGGAATGCTGGGAGACCTGGGTTTCCAAGGGCTGAGGACCGTTTTCCGAAACGTACGGTCACAATATCCTTTCCGCGGCCCTTAGGCTCTGTGGCAGGTCAGAGCCGTGACAGAGAGCTAGAGAGAGCAGTCACCTGTGCCTACCCCTGAGTAACAGATTTCCAGTTTAGAGACTTTTAAAAAATGGATCGGACATGTTCTTCTCTGCTTAGGCTCAAGTCCTTCACCACACTACATGTGTTCATGCACCAAACAATACAGCGCATGAATGAAAGACAGGACAGGCAGAGTACAAGGTTCATGGCATAAAAAAAAGAAAAAAATCCTCCAGCACCACGTGCCTCCATTGTAAGGTGATGCTTTCCCAAGCTACAGGGATGAAGACAAATGATCGGTGCACGCCTGCTGCTAAGGAGGGTTTGCTGTTAAAGAGCCAGAGCCCGGAGAAGCACGCAGCTCTGCCTGGCATGACATCACCGCCATGAGCAGGCTCCTCACCGAAGCCCCAGAGGGACCAGCGAGGAAGCCCCCCACTACAACACACAGACCCATCTCAGGAACACATGCTTCGCTGGAAAAGGAGAGCAGGCGGCTGGGACCTGGGGCCCACCCTGGATACAAGCCTGCCTTGCTGAAATATGACCCGGCAGCCAGACCAGTTCAATAAGCCCCATCCTCCCAACATGCCTGGGTATGTAATGGAGACAACCATAACAGGAAGGGCAATTTTCATAAACACCCATCCAGGGTAAAGGCCACTTGGAGTACATTAGCTCTGTGGTTTGGAGAAAAGGTCGGATTCCCAGATCGATGCACAGTCCGAGTCCTGCCTCCACCAATAGCAAAACTGTACGGCTGGCTCTGCTACCGAGAGCACACGGCCTTGTCCTCCACACCGTGCCCATCAGTGGGTAAGGTCGGGCACACAGCGGCTAACCGGCTGCATGTCCATCCGAGATGCTCTGAGCCATCTGCCCAGCCATGTTGAGCGGCTGCCCAGCAACCCGGGCACCGAGCTGCCACACTCAGGGCTCTTCCCAGGAGAAGGGTGACGATGCCCGGCTGTTCCCGTGCAGGAAATACCACTGTGCCGGGGATGCAGAGGGAAGATGCTGATGGCATGAGAAGCCCCCAACCACGCACCCTGCTGCTGATCAGCCAAACCCGAATTCCAGGAGGTCAGTTCTCTGCCCTGGGCAGCGTCCTGGGGCCGCCAGATGCCTATTCCAGAGGGGCACAAGATGCTAGAAAGGGCAGCCAGAAGGTAAAGACATGCAAAGCTGCAGAGACTCCCAGGCCAGCCCCGGTTCCAGGAGAGGCGACACTAACAAAGCGGAGCAGCCTCTCCTTCCCGGGGGGCTCCGGGCGGAGCACTTACATTGCCTCGGAAGCCTCCAGGTTCGAGTCGCTGGCTGGGAGTGGCTGCAGAGACTGCGACCCTCCCATCCTCGCTGCGCCCTGGCGTGCAGGCTAGCCGCGAGCAGGGCCAGCGTTCTGGCGCGATTCCTCCAGCCGGGAGCCCGGGGCGGGCCGGCCGGCGGCCGGGGCTGCTGCACTGCAGATGGCAGCAGCTGCTGGCATCCGTGGTGGCGGCGGCGGGGAGCTGCAGCTCGCGGCTGGGGCCAGAGCCCGGGGAGCGCGCGCCTAGAGAGTGCGCGCGGGTGGCCGGGCGCGCGGAGGTGTGCGTGCGAGGGTGGCCGGCGGCGCAGCTCGGCAGGGGCGCGCGAGAGGGAGCGCCAGCGCTATGTGGTCCGAAAGAACCTTCCTCTCCTCTTAAACCCTCGGGCGGCCCGGCTCCTGTTTGTGACACGATGATGTCATCACTGCCGACCGGCCTCGCCGCCTGCCTCTCCACAAAGCTCCATCGCTGGCTCCGGAAACGGGCCCGGGGGCGGGCGAAGACCCTCCCTCTGCACTCACGTCAACCCCCAGCCCCCTCCTGCCTCCCGGGATCGCTGGCATTGTGTGACTTTAAAATGCAAATAAACTGCGGGCTGGAGAGCCTGGGGCCCCAGGAGGGTGGGCGCATGGTGGTTGTGGCTGACCGCAGAGAGGGCAGGAGTCCCATGCAGGCTGGCTTATCCCTCCAGAAAGAAGGAAATGAGCTCTCCTGCCCCAGGTCCAGGGGGATGGCTGGAAAAGCAGGTAAACAGGCTGCTGAGCGCTGGGAGGGACAGAAGATGAGTACTTCTTCAGACCAGACGTTCTGGAGCCTGCTGAGGCCCAGCTCCCACTCACCCAGAGCCCAGGCCAGCCTCCTAGGACACCTTTGCTCTGCATAGTTGGCCAGGACTGGAGACAAACTGGGGAGAAGGAAGCCCAGAGCTTGCTGCCCAGGCTGGGTCTGCAGCATGTCTGGCTACCAGCTGAGTTCTCCACAAGGAGAAGCCCTAGGCAAGCCCTCACCCTAGACAGAGGCCAGGCGAGCATGGAGTTCTCCACAAAGTGAAACCCTAGGCAAGCTCTCACCCTAGACCAACAGGCCAGGCGAGCACGGAATTCTCCACAAGGTGAAGCCCTAGGCAAGCTCTCACCCTAGACA